AATAAGATACTAGTGAAGAGTTATGAGATAAAAAATAAAGTATTGTACTGTGAAGTGTTTTAACAATATAGAGCTGTGCACCTGGAGAATAAATGACTAATATCCAGCTGTGGACATTTTTACAGTGATGGATATTTGAAAATAGCAGAAACATCAGAGATGTGCAAAATGACAGCAGCATGTTATTTAACTGATTAAGGTAGAAACTGCAAAATCAGCATGAATGTAACAACTTATTGCTGATTATTGAGAAGGATTATTCTCTGGATTATTTTTAAGCAAATTATTGTTTTCCCTAGGAAGAGCTAAAGAATCAATTTTCCTCTGAGTTAGATGTAAGATAAGGCATTTTGTTTTGTTTCTTTATTCTAAGGGAGAATATCTCCATCTTAGATGGAGAAAATGTTAATTTTGCTACACTTTCATTTTAATAATCAAGCAGAACAAAAGATGGCGGCTTTTATAGAAAACAGACACAACAGCAGTTAAACAAAAACTTCACTTTACTTACTGTGGAAGAAAAGAAGCGCCTGAGAAACTTTCCGCATGTTTCTGATCCTCCTCAGGACAAAGCTGAAGCCCAGCGAATGGATCAGCTCTGATAAGAGTTGCAGAAAGACGTTTGGATTTTCAAAGCAGCAACAGTTACATTTCTAAACGATGAGGAGCAGCGAAACAGAACCTAAACAGGACAGAACGGAACTGATGCAACCCGACACTGTCCAGAAATCCCTCCTTTATTACAGCACAACCTTTCTACAAACTCAACCACCACAAACAGTAGAGGAGTCTTCTGTTTATCTAACTCATTTTCCTTTATGACTGTTCTACAGTTAAAGGGGCGCTGCTTATTTAAATAACAGCGCTACAATGGTACTAATCATAATAATAATAATAATAATCATATTAATAATAATAATAAATAAAATAATGTAACAGACTGTTCTAATAATGATAATTTATGGGATTCAGTGTTTTGATTACAATTGCTATGCTTTGATCATTTAAATAGAAAAACATAGGACAATATAATATAACATAATACAATAACGTTTATACAAGTTCTTCATTTTTAACTTTATTTTTCAACTATGACTAAAACAACGTTGCTCAACGGAGTCACCTAGTGGCCGAAGTTTGCAATAACATGCAAAATAAATAATCAGAAAGCGTTAAGCGTGAATAGGTAGCCCCCCCCCCAATTTTCCATTATGTAATTTATTTTATTCCTTTGATTCGATAATGGTTTCTCTTTTTCTTTTTTTTTTTCTTTTTTTGGAAAATATTTTATTTTATTTCTCAATTTTATGTTTAATTCGTAATTTAATTCGATTATTCTACATTATGCTAATAAGCTTCATTTATTCGTAATAAACTAAAAACAGACTATGTCAGCTGTAAGTTATTTTTAAACGAGTAAAACGTATCAGTGCAAATAGAGAAGGATGTGGAGAGATAGAAAATGTAG